GTAAATGTATAGTGTGGTTTTTCGATAATAACTTTTAGATCGAGGACTCAACTAGATTATTAAGTTCCAAAATTTATTTAATTTTTAATGGTATAACTACTGAACTATGCAAATGTATAAGATGAACTTCCATAACTTTCCTTATTCTAACTTTATTTGACTCATTTGCAAATTGATTGCGATACTTTCTTGAATATAAAATATATGTACAGCCCCATTGCACTCTGTGAGCATGTGAGCGCGGCTGGTTCAAGGGGCAGTGACCATAATTAATTGACCATTTACTGCAGCTTCCCTGCAAGTCGTTTGCGGTTAAGCAGAAGACAATGGCTTCATAAATTCAGCTCTAGGAGAACAATCTCAACCGGCTAAGTGCCGCTCCACGGGTTGTTTGTCCTGCCCCGCCCACCGAGATGGGTCCTCCCTTTCGGCCATTGTCTTTATCACTGTCCTTATCAGAAGGCAGTGCACTGGAAAATATCTTCAACCGTCGTCAGTCATAATGAGGGATAGGGATCCACGACCATTCGGCATTCAACGCTCCCGAAACCCAAAACAATTGGCTGTCGTTTTGGTCAGCTGAAGAAACGCTTTAATAAAGCCAAGTCTCGCAACCGGAAAATTGCCTCGAATGCTGGGTATCCTTTTTTTGGGGACATTTCAACATTGGGCTAGCTTTAAAGTGCTATAAAAAGACAGGGCGAAACAAGGCCACATTATAAATCATGCCAAAGTGTGGAGGCGTAAATTTTTTATAGCGACTGGGGAGAACATGAAAAGCCAAGATGTTCGAGAATTTTATGTTCACGGAATTCTAAATAGGGAGAAAGATTCATTACTCTCTGGTATAACCATAATTATCTTCACAAAATCAAAAGGGAGATATCAAAAAACATGCATCATAAGCTTATGCTTATTTTGAATTGAGAAAACCACTTAAAATTGTACTTTTCTAGAAATCGATATCATACAATTTGAATTAACCCAAAAGAGTTGACTTACACCGATCTAATTTAACCTGAAATTGAAACTTCTTCAAAATTGTTCAAGACTAATCTGTAGGCTAAGCCCGCAATAATCTGAAAAGAAAAGCACCTCTTGGAAAACGAGAACTTGACCTTTTCTTGGCAGCTGTTTTACTGCGATTAAGTTCTCCTCGGTTGCCACGTTACAACCTTACAGCCCAGCTGCTGGCCTTTGACGGGATTATCCCCTGGCTCGTCTCGATTTCCATTTATCATTATGCAGATTCGTGTCTACAATATGTTCATTTATAAATATATAAAAAGAAGGCACACAAGAGCAGTGCAGCCGAGCGGGGAAGCACTTTGGCATAGTCTATGCAAATTAATAAGCAACTCACTTAGCGCTGACTTAAATGCAGGCAAACTGTTGTAAATGGCGTTTTAATCAACGTACCAAGACAACAAACGAAATTAATTAAATGTTCTCTTCATGGCCGGGATCTGCGCTAAACCAGAACGGCGTCCCCAGTCCCACCCACTTATTATCTCGGGTTTTTGTGGGCCCCCAACATAACCCTCCCATCTCCCAACGCCCATCGCCCATCGCCCATCCTTCCTACGTCAATTTTTGCATTTTAATGATATTTGAACCGCGGTGTGGCCGCGGTCTGTTCGACCCCCGATATGGGGTTGCATCGAGGGACTGGGACTGAAACTGGAACGGGGACTTGGGATTGGGGATTGGGGATGGTCTCGCGTTGCCCACTCAGCGATGATGACGATGTCGATGGCGAAGACCCTGGCCAGTTGTTAGCGATATGATAATGAATCGATAAATACTCTTTCACCGAGCGCCACAGAAAAACTTTGGCGTCGAATAGATTATTCCAAATAGGTTATGTTTCGGGGAAATGACAAAGCGAAAAGTTCACTCGGAACTTTGTAAAGGAACTTGCCGCTTTTTGTACATCTATATTTAAATGAGGGGCTTTTCATGAATTATTTAGACAAAAGTATATAAAGAAAACTTTACACTCTATTAACTTGCAAAATAACAAATTCGATGCGATGGGGAGAGCTCTTTTTATGTTTTAAAAGGTTTCAGAGGTCTTTTTTGCATGTGCTCCAAATCAGATAAAATAAAAACACGCCAAATGAACTGTGCCATTTGCTTTGACTTGACAGAACTCAATCTGTAATCCCTGGAAATATTTTCCCACTTAAATCAAATAGCCCGAAGCACTCCATTATGAATAGAGAATTAATTACGTTGCCGGCCGCCGGGTTTGGGCCTCAGCCTACGGCATGTAATGGTCTTTGCTTCAATCCAAATCCCCGGACCCCAAATTGCGGTTTTCTGAATCCATGAAGCTCCTACGAAGTGATTTTTTTCGGTTTACGGTTTTCGGTTGGCCTCCCTATTCCGTCCGTCGTTTAATTGAAAAGCAATTAATTTTTTGGCCTGCATTAGGATGCCTTCCACCCACCCAGCTTGTTCCCAGTGGGCCCTGAATTATTGACAAAAGTTAAGTGAGCAGCTGCACGGACCGAAATCATAACCAGACACGGAGGTAAATTGAAAGGCAGCATCGAGTGGGGCCCCTCGGTTGATGGTCTCTGGAGAAATTTGAAAATCCTAGCAGCAAACTTCTGACTGACTGTCAATGGGAGGCCACCACGTCCTCCACTCGGAGCACCCCCACCCTTTGCGGCAAAGGGATCTTAGACCAAAGACCAAGTCAAAGGCAAAGGCAATGCCAATGGCAACGGCAACGGCTGCTGGCCTTGAGAATGGCAATCGTTTTATGGTCGTGTTGTGGCCTGGGTTCCCCCTGTTCCTCTGCTGCCCGGACTCGTCCTTATTTAAGTTCGGGGAATCGGGATGTCGGGGAGTCCTCGAGTCCGGGGCCTCCATCGCTCAGATTGGCCGTAAAAATGTCACCTGTGACTTGCGACTGTGAGAAATCAAATAAATTCAAGCAGCTGGCCGCCGCCCCCACCTTTACGCATTTCTTATCAAGCCATTTCTCTCGTAAACACACGAACATATAATGTATACTCAGGTACCCACCCATGCACCATCAGCCTTTTGCATAATTTATGCAAAACTTAGTTGCCAATAAAAATGGCAAGCGGTATAAAAAAGCACACAAAACATGTACTTGTATAAAAAAACAAGCATATTAATCGGTCAATGTTTCGACTGATAAATACCTTAAACTCTAAAATATAAATGTTTCTCTGTACATCAAACATTTATTTAAAACTTAATGTTCACACGACAGGATTGATACTTTAGAAAAATGTAAGAATTAAAATTGAAACAAAGCATATTCCCTGTAAAAAGTCATATAATTTGAGATGATTTAATGATGTAATAAGAATAATTTACGCAGCTCGAGATTTTTATTGCAACAAAAATGAATAAATTTCCAACCCAAAAAGTTAGTTCAAAAATAAATGTTTTCTTAATCTGAAAGAAACCGTTTCATAAATAAAAAGCTTCTCCGAAACTCAAAGTCAATGTTTGCCTTTGACTTTTCACTGCAAATATGTAAATATTTTGAACCGAATGTGCATATTGCCTATAGAAATAACGAGTGGTGGAAATATACCAACAAAAATCAAAGAGATGGCAGAAATTAATCAAAAAAATATATCCCATATATAAAGCCATTAAATATATGAGTTTTAGTTTTTTACTAGCTGGAAATTTTCAATGTTTAAAGGGTAAAGTGTTTAAAAATGAAAAATTTTACTAATCTTCTCGCTTTAGTTAGGCATTCAAGTAATGAATCGCAAACATATTCTACCTTGATTTTTGGCCTCCGACTGCAATTTATCTCTACTTCGTACCGCAAAAGTTGATTTAAATGCAAATGGAAAGGAAAGCGAACGCATCTTAATCGAGTGATGACGGCGAAGCGACCATCTCTGCCGTTTTCGCCTCAATTGCGAAATTTCGGCGACCAGAAATTGCCTTGAAGACCAGTTTCACTGGCCATCAGCGAGCGTTGGCGCGGTCTGATATGCAAATTGAAATGCGTTTTCCTTTTACCAGCTATTCCTCTCCTCTTTTCAGCCATCTTTAGATTTTGGGAGACCCCACAAACTGGTGTTAGGATTGCACATTGCTTGAGGGATATCACGTATACGCAGTGTGCGTCTCAAAAGGCAGCAGCTTTTGTGATTGAGCGGATTAAATTGGATAAGTTTAATATTTGTTAAATTGGAAACGAGTTTTGTGGGAAATCAAAGCACCACTTATAAGTAAAGCAAAGCCATCAATCATCTGAGAACTAGTTATCACTTATTCAGGCTGCGTCCCCAGACAATAATGATTAACATTACGTATACGCCGGCAAACTTGACCAATTCCCACCTGAGCAACATGGTCATTAGTATTCGCCCCTAGTTGGGGCAAAGCAATCAATGCATTTGTTTATCGAATCATCAATTGATGAATGACTGGATGACTGGCATCCGTGTCAGAGGGGATCAATTAGAATCAATCGAAAGTTGTTCGGCCTGACTTCAGCTTGTTCCTTCTTCTCGAGGGCCCATTAAAATTAAAGGGAAATTTGCATTTTTAATTAAGGAACAGTCACGGCCAACCCATTTGATTTGGCCATAAAAAGCAAACAGAGTACGTGCCTCCCCCACCACTTAGTATTCTTTTAAATGCAATTGGGTTTTCCTTAATGTTATCTCTTTTACCCGCATCACTCTTTTCGCTCTTGCTTTTTTTAGCATTCTTGTTTTTTTTTTTTTTTTGCAAACTTATTTGTTTTGTCGCAAAACAAAATAAAAGTTGAATGCTTTTTTCGGGACTCCGGCCTCTTCCCCAGTCTTTTGGCAGCGGAATAAAACTTTTCTTTGTGGGAGCCGAAGAAAAGGCCGCAAGAAAAGTTGACTGGAATTCAATTTGTTCGGATCGTAATGAATATACTCGGGGATGATACACTTTGGCTTGCCCCAACAAACATGTCAAACTTATTAACAAATACATTTTTGTGTCCCTCCGTCCAGACTCACCTCTCACTTCCACTCTAGCTGCTTTTGGCAAATTGATTTAATTTCAAGTTGGTTTGCAGTCAGTTAAACTTTAACTCTCACTCCGGCCGTTAAATATTATTGTTGGGCCGGGGACAAAGGCGAAAAGTTTTGGGCCCGGCTAACCACGGGAAAAAATTACAAATAAAAAAAATTAAATAAAAACCGAAAACTGGCGACCGCCGACGTGTCAACACGGCGTATACGGGGTGTATATAAATACGGGGAGGAGCGGCTCGAGACACAAAAACCAAAACCGCAAGGATGGAGGCACTCGAGCACGTTCCGGCACTTGTTTGGTCTCCTCTTCACTCCCACACTCCCACTTTCGCTATCAGTTGTTCTTCACCGCACAATGAAAATATTTCAGCCTTCCGTAGAAGACAGTTTTTCCTCTGTTCGAAAATCTCTTTAGGGATTTTCCTCCGGTTTTCTGCCGATTTTCGTGTCCGCCGTCAACGAAGAATCACAGGCAACTGAACGGTCCAACTTCGTGCGCCTGAACGGCCGACCAACAGGTTAGCTGCTGATAAGACCTCTTGCCCAGCCGAGCAACTCGAGTGGTTTTACTCGTTGCGTATACGCGATATGCATCGGCGTCGTCTTATTACGTATACGCAGCGTTTAACTCACTCAATTTCAGGGGAGTTGAGTGAGCAAGCCGGAATTGAGTCTGTTTCCATGTCTGTCAATTATGTGCGAACCAGGGAGATGAGCGGAACGCAGTTTTTGCCCTTAAATGAGCCGTAAACCGAGGAATTCGGTAAAGTGAACTTCATAAATCGGTCGCAAAAAAACTGTGATGCCATGTTGAAGCTTAAAAAGTCTAAAGTAGTCCCTCAACCCTTTAAGATCATTAAATGCCCTTGTGTAACATTTTTTATTTTCTCTAGGCAAAAAAGAAATAGAATACATTGAGTATATGGGATACCTAATGATGAACTGACTTTAATATATTCAAATAAATATTGACATATGCTAACCAATAAAAAATTAATTAAAACCAAAGACTTAACAGGGTAATGTATCACATAAATATGTTTTGTTCTTTTTCCTTGATTGCTTTAATAGGAGTGTCATATCCGTAGCCAATTAGCTAATCAAGCTTGAAGTTTTTTACTCTGCCACCCAACCAGATGGACTATAAATTTATCTCATCCAATCATCGCCATCAGCCTCTGCTTACCTTACTCAACGTGCTCACGTATGGTTAACTTACGTTCGCCACCTCATTCCGTCACTTTTCGCAATTTAGTACCCCGGCAATTGCGGGATTACAAAAGTATTCACAATGTCAGTATAATTAAACTGTAATTTAAATTCCAAACTGTAATTAAATATTACCACGTAGAAAATATAAATTGAAGATTTACTTCTTGTTAAAAAATGTTTTCTTTGCTTACTTAAGACCCCAGTTATAAAATTTTCAAAACATATTTTCTGTTATACTTTTCCGAAATCTACACACTATGATCTACATTTTCTTTTGCTTGAGGCCTATGCACATTATATTCTTTTCTTGGAGACAAGAAGACCCCATAGTGGGTATGTACAAGTCCAAAGCCCACATCGCATGTTCTTATTTGTTTTGTTATCTGTCGCCAGGAAGTTCCACAGGAAATCGCGAGCAGTCAAGGGCATTCTGAGAGGGCTTCAAGGGATGTGCCAACTGATGCAGCTGCGATTTATTTATTAAAGCCAAGTCGACAAACAGTTTCCACTTTGGGCGAGACTCCTTCGGAGCCAGTGCTTCCTCTCTTCCCTTTTTAACCCCGCTTTCGGAATTACGCTTTATATTTTTTAAGCACATCGCCTGACACATTTATGCTCTGGCACAAGTGAAGTGAATAGTGGCCGCTTTCGCAGGGTCCTACCAGTTTTCTCCGCTCCACTTTTTCGCCCTTTTAGCCGATTACCATAAACAATGGCAACTTTATACCTGAGACGGCTCATCCTTACTTTCAGGCTGGGCCTCATCCTCTTAGTGGAAATTTGTGTAACATATTCAAGCGCTGCTTTCATGAATTTTTATTTACTTCGCAGGCATCTTCACCTAAACGCACCCCACATACGTACATACACATATGCCGGCCAGAAGAACGCTCCGTTGACATTATAAAGTAAGACCGAGTTGCGCATACGCCGCATATGCTAGGCAATGTTTTGAAGAAGTGAATGACAACGCCTCCAAATCACAGCCTCAATTCGGATGCGTGTGTGTGTTGCTTCATAGGCTATTGACTCTTAAATTTAACTAAATTTTAAAATTACGTATATCCCAACGAGCAATGTTGCAGTGCAAATATTGAGTTTCTGGTAAGATTATTTTGTGTAAATCAAATATTTAGATATTTCTAATGAAATACTGATGTCCAACCTTAATATCGGTTTATATTAAATTAAAATCTAACACTGTAAAGATAGTTCAAAGTCACTTCAAAGAAGAATTATAAATGCCACTCACAGAGAACGTTACCAACTTAAGTAAATCTAATAATTTGGTGGTGTTGACACACTGTAGAAATTAAAGGCAATACTAAAATAGGGGGACTCATGATTTGTTTTTTTTTTCAATAAAAAGTTGAACCAAAGTAACATAAATGGGTACTAATTAAACAATTTGGTAAGCTTGGAAATCTCCCTTGGGATTTGGTTTCCTTAAGTTAAATAAAACACATGGTAAAAGTACCATTTAGGTATTAAAACATTAAAATATTTCTAGTTTTGTTAACTGTGAATAAATAATTTATCACATAAGTATCACCATAATTCTATAATTTGTAATAACTTTTTTATATATAAATAACCTTGCTAATAAAAAATTAAAATTGTTTGATTAGTTTAAAATATAATATTTGTAAATTAAGAAGTGATCAAAGTCGCACGACATCATCCGAAAATGCAAAAGTATGCTTACTTTTTAATGTAAACTTTTGTTGCGCTTTACACTTGCTGTAATTAATATTTTCGGTACAACTAAACATAAACACTTTATATACCCTGGCAGAGGGTATTATAACTTCAGTCAAAAGTTTGCAACGCTGAGCAGGAGACATTGCCTTCCTTCCTTGTTTAAATATTAAATAATGTTCATATTAACCAAACTTCAATTGAAAAGCTTAAAACAGAGCCCATCATTTGCTCAAAGGCAAAGCGCGCAAGACGTCAAATTCGTTTTGGTTTATTTGGCCATCTCCCTAGAATTTTTATATATTTTTGTCTCTCAGCTGCTCAGTTGTCGCTGACCTTTGCTGTGATTCTATATTTATAAGTACATAAATATACACATGTTTTATGTATATACATCTTTTTCTCATCTGTTGGACTTATATTTAGCATTTAATTTAAAAGTTCTTTCCATCGTATAATAAAACGTCTTAGATGGTTCAGAGGGAACGGAGCAATTACACTCCCACTACTATAAAATTAAACAAAACAAGAAAGGAAGCAATCTTCGGCAAGCCGAAGTTTATATACCCTTGCAGCTATTACAAAACGACTACATTACGATTTATATGCCTATATTACTGAAAACAATAAAGCTATGTCGATTTTGCGCGGCATTTTGGCATAGTTTCTATGGCAACTACATGCTATTGTTGTCCGATTTTGACAAAACTAAAAGCGTAATTCTGATATAGCAAATGATTAGTATATCTCAATAGAATATTTTTATAAATAGAAAAATAGCATGTTTTGCTTTTTTTAATTTTTTTGTTTATTTTTAATTTTTTGATTTTTTTATTGGAGCTACTTGATATAGATGTCCGATTTTAATTTAAATAAAAACGTAATTGCATAGTATTTAAATATTACCAATCCCAAAAACAATAAAGTAATACTTTTTACACCTTTGCAGAGGGAATTATAATTTCAATTAAGAGGACTGGAGGAGTCATTTTAGACTAAAGGTAGTCTCTATCTGGTGTACATTATATTAAGCATACCGATATTAAAATTTAAGACCCTGCGGGATGAAAGTAAATTGAGTTTAATTAAAGATAATTAATTAGGTTTAAATATTTAATAATATCACAAATTAATCTTATATTCTTAAACTCCAAATAAAACAATTGGTTCTACAAACTTCTTATTTATTATTCTTTGGCATTCAGAATAATGACTATTTCGAACATTTATTATTGTCAATTTTTGCTTTGATTTGTTTTGATAGATGTAGATCCTTTGTGTTTAATTTTTAACGACGATTTTTATTCATGTATATTGGTTCATTTTTAGTTATTGTGGGTCGTTGGACTCCGATTATTATCTGGTTGGCATTTATGACATTTAATTGGTGGGTGATTCAATGAAAATCGCCACAAAGTATGAACTAAGCTGTCTTTACAAAGAAAATATTTTAAAGGTGCAGCAAGCAAGTTAATAACAATATTAAAGCTAAACAACCAGAGAAAATTTACCTGCAAAAATGTGGAATGGAAAACTACTACAATTGTTCGAAGTTCGATTGGTTCCCGCACAGCACGAACAATACTTGGCACTTATATTGGCAACTTATTCTATTGAAATTATATTTATGGCAGCAGCTGCTGCTGGAGGAGTTCGATACGAGACCAAATTATAGTCCAGACTACCTGAGTTGTGCATTGTGGAAGGAATTGGGTACGGGTACGTGATTGTAGCGAGGTCCCCATCTCTCCGGCTTATTAGAGCCCACATGTTGTGAAACCATGGTTATGCTTTGCATATAAATGACCCACATGCATACAAACTTGGCCCACATGCGGCGTTAAAGCTACTGCCTAAACCTATTATCCTTCAAGCGGGACGGATCCTTCTTGGTCTGGTCACTTTAAGAACCACTCCCGGCGATTTCTCTTTTCATGGCTCATTGACTGGATGCCGACCATTGGGCACTGGGAGAAAACATCACTTCCACAACACACTTTTATAATGCATTTTTTCAAAATTCAGCTTTAAATTATTTGTTTCTTAACCAGTAACAGCCTTTGAATTTGCAAATCTTGCTATATTGTTCGAATTATTTAATACCTTAAGACTTCATGGGTTAATAAAAGTTTATGTTGATGCTAAATGGTAAGTGGCCGTTTAAGCATTGATATTTGAGTCATTTAGATAACAGTTAAATTAACAAACATTTTAAAATAATTTTGGTTATATTTAGAGATAATTGTGGTATTGAATATGAAACTGACTGAAGAGATAATTGCGGTATTCAATATGAAACTAATCTAATCTAAGTTTGACAAAAGTATAAATTAATACATTGATTGAAACTTATCCTAATTTAAAGCAAGACTTACGAATCTATTTTTTGTGCCATGTGCTCATAAATTTTCTAGTAAAAGCCTAAGACACATTAATTCAGAATATATATAACATTAATCATATTTCGTTTTGGATTAAAAATTTGCTTTAATTCCTGTAATTTTTAACTCACAATTGTTAATAGTTGGTTATTAAATC